TCTGGGGACCCCACAGCCCCCCGCTCCCCGCTCCCCGCCCCCTCCCACCTTCCCTTCCCGGGCGCTCGCAGCTGTTAACCTCTCCCTTTAGGAAGTTAAAGACACGCTCCTGTTACTGTTTTTTCAATGAGCAGCTTGCTTTTCCTGGGATTGTAAACAAAGGCTCTCTATAAACAATGTAGGTAAGTCGAGAGTGCCCTGGCTCTGGGAGGAGTGGAGACGTGTCCCGGGCGCCTGATTCGGTTCTTCATGGAGACAGCCTTTCCATGGGCTGGCCCTTTCCGCGGGACGCCTGGACGCCTGCCGGCCAGTCAGTGGGAATTGGAAGGGCCAGGTGGGAGCTTGGGCGTAGCTGGGTCCTGCAGGGCCGGGAAGCCCAGCAAGGGCGACCACAGAAAGCAGCCAAGACGCCTCCTGACCCGGCTTAGAACTGGGACCCTCGCAGGACCCTGGTCCTTCGCGGCTGTCAGATAACTACGCGCGTCCTAGCCTGTCCCCGCCCCCACCTCCACGCCATCCAAAACTCTGGTGCAAACTTTTGCGCAACTTTATTTCATTCAGTAGGAGCCCAAAACCTCTTTCCTTAGAGGCTCAAGAAAATCCCCCCAGGTCTTCCCGGAGGAGGTGGCAGCTTACTAGACAGTGGACATTCAGCTTCGGGAGACTGCCCGAGAATTTATAGCAGCTCTAAATGTGGGCCTGTAACAACCGTCGGGGAATGGTCTTCGAGGTTTACGCACTCGTAAACTTTTGCTGATTGCTTCTGGGAAGTTGTCAGGCACTTAGCACTGCGTGCATCTTACAGGGCAATGAAAACACATCTGCCTGGTGTCTCGTTACCTGGGTTAATCGTCGCCAGCCCTACGTCACGGCCTAGGCTCTCTCTCTCTCTCTCTCTCTCTCTCTCTCTCTCTCCTCACTTGAGTGGGATCCCGCCGCCTGGTTTCGGGCCAGCGGAGGGAGGGCGTCTGCTGCTGACTCCGTGCCCTCTGCCCGCAGGGGCTCGGGAACTCTGTGCACTTGAACTTTGTTCCGCCAGGAAGCAGCTCCTGATGTAACTAGCAAGTTGGAAAAGTAGCAGAGGACAAGTCAAAATAAACACATTCTGGCTCCCCGGAGGGAAGGAGTGGGCAGGAAAGGGTGGGAAATGAGCCCGCGGGGAAAGCCCCTGACTCCCTGATGACCCCAGAGAGGGAAGCACTGGAGGTGAAGCCCCCTGATGGAGCATTTTCAGAGGTCACTGTGAGTTACCTAAGCATTTGGGCACAGGAAAGGCAGGGACTGTCTCCTTTGCCCGCAGCACGGTGGGGGAAGCTCAGTCCACTCGGCAGGCGGGATTTGCGGGGGGCGTGGGGGCGTGGAGGGGACGGTCCAGCAACACCCCGCACAGCGCCCTCGGTGCTGGTCTGGGTTGCTTGGCGCAGCGAGGCCCGCTGGCACAGGGAGCATCCTGGGCCGAGTGTTGGATTCCAAACTTACAGTCGCCAGAGCATGTTGTGCAAAGATGGATACAGTTTTGCTAGAGCAGGAAGGAGCCTACCCAAGGCTTTGGAAGGATTCTAAAATATTCAGCAAGCAGCACCGCACGGGAGTTATAGAGCTTTGAGCGTCAGGCCAAACTAATTTTTTTAGGTCCTACTTTAATGTCTCAGTGATCATCTTTATTAATCTTCGCTTGAAATTTGAAATAGGAACCTAAATAAAATCAGAACGGAGCACAATCTAATCTACTTTTGAAGAGCAAAGCCTGGGTGCCTCTTTGTTATTTCTATGGCCCCGATAAAGTTTATTACTTCTCTAGATTAAAAAGTAGGGAGAACCCGGAACACTTGGATTTGGGTATCTGTGTGTTTTCGGAAAGGAAGGATGGTCCGTGTGTGTGTGTGTGTGTGTGTGTGTGTGTGTGTGTGTGTGTGAGAGAGAGAGAGAGAGAGAGAGAGAGAGAGAAAGTGTCAACTTATCTATTTGAGAACATTCTAAAAAGTAAAAGCAAAGTTTAGCAAAAATGCCATGAGCTTTCGCTTGGGAGCTGCTCTGGAAAAGGCAATTCCCTGAGAGCCATGGGACCCCTCTCCGGGAGGCGCTTCCCGGCCGCGGGGAAGTCCGGTCTGGAAGATGGTGTCTGGCTGGGACCGCGGAGACCCCGTGGGACT